TTTGAATATCTGGAGGTGAAATGAAGAGAAAAATAAATCTAATTTAATTTTGGGAGTTAGTGGCAGAAAAACATGAGGCCAGTTGGAAACAGACAGATTGATTTATTTTTTCATAAAAAATAAACTGGACAAAACCTGGAACAAAATGCTTAAAAAATTTATTTGATTATCCAAAAGCACTTTATTTCATAAAATGACTTTTTCTTTATCTTTTTTGATAATTTTGATATTTAGTTATCTAAAATTTTGAATTATCAATATATTTTTTCAACTCCTATTCCCAGAAAAAATTCAAAGTAATGGTCAATAGCACAAGCAACACCAGTGCCAGCATCACCATGGACAATAAAGCACTGGCGGAAGCGTCCAGCTTCAAATACTTGGGAGCAATCCTGTCAAAAGATAACACCTGCAATGCAAAAAATCTACAGATTGCCACAGCAGCAATGGCCAGACTGGAAAGGATATAGAAGCATAGCATCAACTTCCATATGAAGTTCAAGCTCTACAAGTCATTGGTTGTATCCATCCTCTACAAATGTGAGAGTTGGACACTTCTGGTTGGGGCAGGAAAAAGTCTCCAGGCATTCGAGAACAAATGCTTGAGAAAGGTCCTCTGCATTGCCTACTGGGAACAGAAAACCAATAACTATGTACAGAGCAAGGTGAAAAGTCTTGTGGGTCAACAGAAATCTTTCTTCACTACTATTAAGTATCAGAAAATGGCATGGTTCGTTTTACAGCATATCAACATCAATGGGTTATTTAATGCTGACAACATTTATTTTGCTGGTAATATTTTGTTTTTGTCAAAAATCTATTTCTGGTAATATTTTTCCTTCAAAAGTATATTGCTGGTAATAATTTTTTTTTACAAAGTATTTCTGGTATTAAAACCTATTTTTACACTTTCATAGGGTTTTTACCACAGTTTTGGGGTTAACTATTTGGGACCCTAACAGGTGCTACCACCCTGAAGTTGGCATGGTTTGGCCCATGTCACAACAGCCTTTGCAAGACCACCATGCAAGATAATATTGAAAGCAAATGCAAGTGGGGACGGCAACACAGGAGTTGATCAGACATCAACGGTGGGGATGGGCACGACAATGCTGGAACACCTGAACATCCTCCTGGAGGGGGTTTGTCTGTTTCTTCCACCTTTAGGTCCCTTTGATAATTGAAGCAGTCAAGGAACTGATGATGATGATTCTCAGGTCTCTGGATAATTGCAGAAGTACCAAATTATTTTGATTAAAGCCCCAATTTAGCAGAATCTTATCTTTTTTAACAATGACATTATATGGGCCTTAATGATTATTATAAATTGTTCATATAGTATTTCTTGTGTCTGTTGCTCGTTTACACTTTGTAGTTTTAATTGATGCAGTAGTCTTAAATTTTCTGAATTTCTAAGTGTTTTGACTAGCCTTTCTTCTAAGCCTTTTGTTCCTTGTTAGTGCCACAAGAAAGCCATTTATGTATTCTGCAACAGTGAGATTCTGACAAAATTTGAACTCTCGTCCTCTGTCCTTGGGAGCATGCTTGGATATAGGTAACATCTAATGGAAGTCAACTTCCAGATATTATTAAATCTAGTCATATGCCTTCATTTTTTTTTTAATCTAAGCTGGATCTGTAGAAATACCTCAGGTCATCTATTATTTCATGACCCTCCCCTTGTATCTATTCTCCCTTCCAACTAAGATTATTCATTACCTTATACTTCTGCTCTTCTCTTACTCTTTGTCCATATCTTTGTATTCTCTCCCTTATTTCTTCAACTATAACTAAGACTCTCCATTAACTCAGGTCTCTGCCCTTCATTCGTATCCTCCCATTGAATACAACTAAAATTATACATTCTCTCATACTTCTGCTCTTCTTTGTCTGTATCTTCTCATTCTCTCCCTTATCCCTTCCAATACAACTAAGACTATTCATTATCTCATGCCCCAGCTCTTCTCTTAACCTTTGCCTGTATTTTCTCCCTTATCCTTTTCAATACTAGATCATCAGTTATCTTGTGTCTACTCTTTTCTCACACTTTACCTGTATCTTCTCATTCTTTCCCTTATCCCTTCCAACACAACTATGATTATCCATTCTCTCACCCTTTGTCAGTATCTAATTCCTCTCACTTATCTCTCTCAATATCCATTATCTCAGGCTTTTGGCCTTCTCTCACCTTTTCCCTGTATCTTCTCATTTCCTCCCTTATCCCTTCCAACCTTTGTTGCTTGACAAAAGCTGAAGAATCAATTACCTGTAACATTGGGTAAACATCAAAAACAAAATAGTCAATTCTAAATTACAGACTTTAAAATGTTTCAGCAGAGTGGGGGAGGGCATTAAGGGATATGGGCGGGGGAATATATTCCTTAGTTTAATTTGAAGGAAATTATGCCAAATGAAAAGATATCCATTAGCATCATGGTTCCTAAACATTTTGCGCTGCTATCACCCCTGGACTCACAGACAACATCCCTACGTCTCCTCCTTCCACACCCATCTGAAGGTACTTCTCTAATGGTATCACATACAGTACAAATTCAAAACTAATATAACGCTGAATGCACACAGGTATTCATTGACTTCTTTTTTTATGCCATTATATAAGATGCTGCCAGACAAACATCCATGGTTGTATTGCTAGTTACAAACCTAGGGCCTTGACGTTGTTAGTGTTGCTATTATTGTTTTATATTGTTCAGTGTTCATTCAGGACATGGGTGATCAAGACTCTTCACAACTTCCTATTCTTCGTTCCCATTATGATGTTCCTCAGTCCCTGTTCTAACATCCATTTATACAAGTTCATTACTTCCTTGTTGCTTACATGTTCCTTCCATGACGAAGTAAATCTTTTTTGCCTCAAGTCTATTGTGCAGCATTCATTGCCATATAGGAGAATTGATATTACATAGAAACAAAGAAAAATGCTAACATATGAAAGTTAAGCAACATTGAAAACTGGTCAGTACCGAGATGGGTAATCATGTGGGAATACTAGATGCTATAAGCTTGGATGTGCAGGTGGTATAGTGGATAATGATGTAACCCACACCTATCATGCCCACAACTCACTCTCTTAGCTCTGTCTCTTCCTTCTCAGGTGCTAGCTTTGTTGAGTAATACCAACCTTACAGGTCATCCAGCTTTCTTTGCCTCCCCCAATTGGGGCTAGTGTGCTGTCTTGATAGGGTTGATTTTTTTTGGAACTGTTCTTAAAATCATTTTAACGAGTTTCGTTTTTAATTTTAATAACTATTCAACCCACTTTCCTGAGAATTTCAACAATTATCATCCAATTAGTTGTTCCTCCAAATCAGCACCTGCAATTTCATGCATTTAAATGTTTAAACAGGGCCAATACCTGCTTACAAGGAGACAGAATTTGAAGTCAGAGAGCTAATAAAATTTTCCACTTTGTTTAAATTTTGGAAGGCATTTTTGCAATTCCAAACACTTCTGGATTTTTGTGTTGCATTTTTCATTGTCTGTTAAAACAAACTCTTTTATGCAAATTTCTAATCAGTCAATGACATGGCAACCTGCTGAATTTCATTTCATGCATTACTATTGGGAAGAAAAGTTAAGTTACTTTGAACATAGCATAGTATTTGGTGCAAACTGCTGATCTACTAGAATTTTTATGCACAAGCATCTGTAGTGTTTACAGACAAAACTATATAGTAAGCAGCAGTTTGAAAATCCCCTGTTGATGATAGAAAGCTAAACAGTAGCTCAAATAACCACACTTTACAATGGATGAGTATCTTTCAACATATTGAACCTTGAAGCAGATGAGCTACAGCAGCAGACCATATTGAGGGCCTCTCTGATCAGATACAAAAGAAACTGAAGCTACAATGTGCTAAGGACTAAAAATATTGCCTGGTCTGATGAGTCAGGATTTCTGTTAGTAAGAGCCAGATTTAGGTATAAACAACAAAGTATGGACCAATCTTGCCTTGTATCAATGGTTCAGGCTTGTGGTGGTGCTTGGTAAGTCTTGAGACTTTTGCCAAAAGTAAAAGATTGTTTAAAGGCTGCAGCATACCTAGGTATTGCACATGATAAAAGTGAACCTATCCTCTGGTGGCCAATTCGAATATGACAACACACAGTGTCACAAATTAGCAATAGTGGTAGATCGTGTCATAGAACACAGTAATGTCTATCTCATAGAGCACCTTTGGGATGGGGTGGGAAAGGAGATTCAAATACTGGATGTGCAGTCAACTTATCTTGAAGAATTGCAGCATAAGCCAAATTTTGAAAGAGGTCTTTCAGTACATTGTAGGATCTGAAGGCAAAAGGAGGACCAGCCCAGTATGTGAACAGGATACCTAATAAAGTGATTTTATTTTTATAAATATAAAAAAAGTAACTAAGGGGCAGTGATGTGGTGTAATGGTTAGCAACCTTGTCTTGTTAGATCAATTACTACTGAATAGTGAGTTCAATCATCACTGGAGGCTCAATACTTCTGGCCTTGTGCCACATCTAAGTTATGCACAGTAAATTGCTATAAGACAGGAAAAGGCAAGGCGTGAAAACTATAATCAAGTTTTCAGAATTTCTAGTAAAAGCGTCAAAATTGAATAACAAAAGATAGACAAGAAAGATTTCTGAAAATTTAAGTTTATTTCATTTGGAGAACCACCATGATGAAAATGTGAATTATATAAATTCTGTAAAGAGATTAAGCATAAACAGATGATATCACTTTAAAGGGAGGGGGTAGGTGGGGGGGTTACAATCTAAAACCCAATGTAGAAAAATGGGAAGAGGGTGGGTGGGGTTTAAAGAAAGAGAAAGAAAGAAAAAAATTTCAGAGATGAAAGAAAAGTTAAAAAATGAACAAGTTCAGTTTCTTTTATTTTTTGTTATTTGTTCTCCCTTCCAAAAGAAAAAGAAAAAGAAAGAGAGAGAGAGAGAGAGAGAGAGAGTGAAAAGGAAATTCACAAGGTGGACACAGTGTCTGTTGCTTAAAATTATTTGCAGAAATGTGATGGGACTCCATTGGTTCTTTGGCGCTTACGGGCTTCCATGCCTGTGAAGAATTCTCTGATGTCTTCCTCACGAACAACCTGAGACAAGAGAGAGTAAAAAAAAAAAAAAAAAAAAAAAAAAAAATTATAAACATACACATACCCCCACTGGAGGAAAAAAACAAAAAAAAACAAACAAACAACTAATGAAAACCAATAAATAACAAAAACAAATAAACTCATGTTAGTGGAATAAATTGCTCTGCTATTCATGTTAACAGGTGTGTGTGTGTGTGTGTGTGTGTGTGTGTGTGTGTGTGTGTGTGTGTAATTGATAACAACTAGTCTAGATTAAGAAGTCCTACTAAAGAAAAATTCTACCTACAACAGGAATTAGAACTGGGAAACCACTTTTTAAAGTCAAGTGTCCCACTACCATTTCAGTTAAAGGAGTATCTGTTAATGAAAGTATGTTTTTCTTGTTGGGGCTTCGAATTCTATTTCAGTTACTGAAAAAATGAAAAAAAAAAGCCATTTTTTTTTTTAATAAGATGTTTATTTCTTATCACTTTATCTTGTTGACTTCTAGCTCAGATACTGAGCACTTTTACCCATAAATATAGTATACCTTATTAAAAAACAAAACAATATATAGTAAAGGTAATAAATCCATTAGTATATAATCCAAGTGGAACCTAGTAATATAAAAATATTAAAACTGATCCACAAAAAGAGCTCAATGCATTCATTATTACATAGCAGAAATTAATACACAATAAAATCCAAAATTCCCCTCATATTGGGAATAACCTTATTTCAACTGAAAAAAAGGTCAGCCTTATTCATTGAATAAGACTGATGAATTTTTTTTTTTTTGTCAGTTGAAAATAAGGTTATTCTCCATATGAGGTGATTTTGGATTTTATTGTGTGTAAACACACTCACAAACACAGTAGAATCCCTTATATCCAGACATGATTTTGATGTGTATAATTGGACTATTTAGGTAATATGTAACTGATTTGAAATTTCTATTTTTCTGGAAATTTACTTTGGATAATTCCTTATGCCTATTTCACCCTAATGGCTTGCATTGGTGCAAAAGATGATAGGAATAAGAGGAAAAGAACAACTTTGGAGTTATCGCAAAAATGGAAATTTTAAACAGACTAGATGCTGGTGTAAGATCATTGTAACTAATGGCCGAGTTCAACATAAGAAAGTCAACATTGTATGATATAAAATCTTCCAAAGAGACTATTCTCCAGCGTTCACACTCTCACAATGAACAAGGAAATAAAAAACATGATTGTGATGAGACTTGGACCAAAATTGAAAAAGCTATTGAAAAGGTTGTCTATTTTATGGAAAGAAAGCCAGCATTTAGCTATGACGATTGCAATAATTCACAGAGTTAAAGTTTCTTTCATTAAAAAGAAAAAAAAAAAAAAAAAAAAAAACAAAAGCAAAACGAAATGCAGAAAAAGTTGAGAATGAAATTAGAAGAGAAAGAATCATCATGCAACAGCAAGTAAAAAAATCCTCATTACATTATTTGTTTTGCATATGGGCAGACTTAATTTAATGAATTTTCATTAACATTACATATTTCTTTTTCCTTAAAATCAATTCAGTTATATTTCAATCACCATTTTTTTTATTTATTTACTATAAAACATTGAAAATAAATGTTAAATCTGTTTCATTTTAATCAAAATATAGCCTCATATCCAGAAGGCCGTAGTCCGGTTACAAGGGATTCTACTATATATATATATATATATATATATATATATATATATATATATATATATATATATGGATCAGAATCTGACAGGATGATAAAATAAAGAACAAATAGGAAATGTACATGTTTCACTTATTATTAAAGCCCAGTCAGTTCTCTCTCAATCTCTGACAAAGTTTTAATCAAAGTTAGCTTAGATTGATATACATTTGTTATTTATTTTATTGTGTGTGTGTGTGTGTGTGTGTGTGTGTACATCTTATGAAATACATTGGTTTGATGCTTTGGCAAACATTTTTAGCTGAGCATCATTAAGGATTTTGGGCCTTAACATAATCCTCATTCACAGCGACCCAGCTGATACTGATTGAATATCAACTTGTGTGCCATTTGTCAGCTGCAACTGTTCTCATGTGTGCAACATGCTGTAACTCATCTGGCACTTTATAGTCCAATCATGATTTCTGCACTATCATATAAAAAAAAAAGAAAAAAGAAAAAAGCATACAGAGTAACCGTTTGCTAGTGCAGGGAATATAGCTACAATCTCAATTTGAAGTGGTAAGTAACGATCTTTCATTTCTCACATACATAACCAAATTCTACCAAATCCTAATTCCTTTTATCCAGTTTTCATTTATGTAACCTTGGTGAGGGGGCAAACAAGTCGTAGATCTTACTCAGCCAAAGATCACCTGTAGGTAATAACAGTCCAGTGTACCCTAATTCTATCAACCCCCTGGACTACTGTCAGATGTAGTTTTCCAACAATAACACACGCAGGTGTATAAAACACTAAATTGAAATATCAACCATAATTTCCCCATTCTCTTACCAAAAGCCTCTTTAGCTATAACCATCACCTAAAGATTCCGAATGTTGCTATAGATATTGAGCAAATGGTCTTGTCCCCCTCCCCACCAAGTCTGTCACTTCTAATTTTGACAGTAACTTGCAAAGTGACTACCCAATGAAGCCTCTACATCCTACTTCTATCAGTTCACACAGAGCTTGCCAACCCTGACTTTTGCATTACTCTACAATATATAAATATTTTCCAAATTTCATTTCATGGATTTCACCTATATTCTCTTCCCAAGGGACTGTTAATTCTAACATGATAATTTGCATTGTTTTATCCAAATAAATAATCATGTACAGACAGATGTGTTTGTATATATCTACTTTCATTTGGAAGAACAAAAAAAAAAAAAAAAAGAAATGCAGAAAGTGGGAGGTATACAAGGCTAGGTAATAGGTTGTATAATACCTGCACAAAGAAACTTATGTTACTAAGATTAGTATGCCAGAGATTTGTCCAGGAAATATCCCCCCCCCATTTTGTCCAGGCCACCTGCTGATTTAAAGCCACCATTTCGTTTGCTCTAATTTCCTCCACTCCTGCTCACACTTCATATTGGAGACAGCCACCATTTTGCTAGTGGCTTGAGAAAAAAAAAAAAAAAAAAAAAAAAAAAAAAAAATTAGTGTGCACGTCTGAAACTTACCTTATTAGAATCAGCAAATTTCTTGAGGTAATCAGTCAGTTCTGACTTTAAATCATTGTAACCTGAAAAATATTTCATTAACGATTACAATTTTAATTCTCAATATCAGCTTCAAATATTGGAATCATCCATTTAAATCCATCTCATTATATTTGGTTTCATATCAATGAACAATGCAGACAAGTGCTAAACCAAGAGCACCAATTGATAATCAGAAGCTGCAATTTATTTCAACATATCATCCTTATTAGGCATTCTTTAAATATGCTTTCAGTACATATATGTATTTCACAGAACAAATGTCTGAATCACTCACCATGGATGACTTCTATCTGTTGAACCCGGTTCATCCTGGACAATGCTTCTAGACCAGTAGGGGTGTCTGTGCTGACTCCTTGTCCCTGGGCTTCATATTCACTGATCAAGTCCTTCTGGTCAGTTAAAAAGCTTACACCATGTTTTTTGTACATCTCCTGCAAAGAAACCAGGGTTTAATACAATCAAATGAAAAGGAAAAAGACATTCTATTTAACACTATAGATAAGGTGGTTCAGAAAATAAGGTCTGATTTTAGAACCAACTTTTATTCATGAATTAATGTATTTAGAGTGTCCATCAAAATAGAAACCTTGAACATCTATACATTTCTGCCATTGAGGTACAATGTTATTCATGCATTTATGATAAAACTCTAAAGGTTTGGAAGCCAAGAAATCTTTGAATGCAGTTTCTGCATCTTCTTTGCAATGGAATGTCTTTTGTTGATTTAGGTAACAGACAAACATTTTATATTCATCTTAAATTTACATTAACACTTCAGGTAAACAATTTAATCCACTTGCGTGTGTGTGAGAGTGAGTGAGTGAGAGAGAAAGAGAGGGGGGGGCTATCATTTAATAGTTGACAAAATGTTTAGTAAGATAGACAATAGAGGTTCTTTTTACCAGGCAATTATCACATGTACACAGCTTGTCTCTCCATCCTTCCATCCAATAAGTGGACTGGTCTTTAGAAGTTACTTCCCTTTGCTGTAATTCCTTGTAGAAGCATTCATTTTTCTTGCTGGTAGATTCTTTAGACTATAAAGAAAAAAAATCATAATGTAGCATTACAGTTCAGAACAGACATGAAGTTCATTCTCAGGATGCAGCTTATTCCAGTCAAATGCTATGGCTTAAAAATAACTCATTGGTGAGATCACCCACAGAACTTTTATAGCAGTAAGCAGATTTTCTTCTCTGTTTGTAACCTACTGCTATAGATGAGTGAGGTGAACAGTATAACTGGCGTGTTTTCATTTCACTCACCATGGGTTCTCTCCATCTGCGTTTTCCACTGGTAGTGACCCCTATCTTATATAGAACATTTTTTTTTTTTTTTTAAAAAACAAAGATGACAAAAAGTTATTTATCTTCATTCAGTGACCGTTTTTTGACAGGAGTGCTTGCCATGGGTACTTGTGAAGTCCACTTAGTTGATAATCATCAGGAACATGAATATCTGAAACCATTTTTGTAACAGGTCATAGGTTTTCAATTTAACACAAAATTGGTTGACACTGATATGACAATAATTATTATACATAATTTCTGATCTGAAATTCAGGAAATCCCAAAACCTTTTTTTATCCTTTACTTCTTTTAAGCATATAAGAGAAGACTTACTGCCAGGAAGTCAAGTGAAAATACAAGCATGAGGCACATGGCCTCAATAAATACATTATCCACTTTAGAATGAGTTTTTTTTTC